TGGCACTTCAGTTCTTACAGCCGGTAAGAGGGGAATGAACCCCCAAAAGAAGGGTTTAGGGCTATTTTTCAGCCCTCTATCATACTACTATAATAGATTTGTTATAAATGTTTGAATAAAAAAAAGGGATATGAGAGATTTAGAATTTGTGGTTTTGAGTTCCTGAAAGTCTGTAAGATCCCTGGATGAAGTAAAAGTCCAACCACAAAAAACACATTCAAGGGTTCATCATTCAATTGTTGAAGAAAACGTATGCGCTACAGCGCAAAGGCTTTCGCACTAGCGCGCTCTTCCGTTGCTTGGTGTAGCTTTCTTCGCTTCAACAACGAGGGCTTTGACAAGACTTGGCTACCTAGGGGAGCGAGTGCTTGCTTTGATGTGTAGCCAACGAGCATCGAGCGAAAAGATGTGTAGCAAGTGGAATAGACCTCATGAGCTCTTTGGCTCACTCCGTGCTTACGCACTTCACTCGCTTTCGGGAGTTACATTCGTAACTTTTTGTTATGTTCACGCGGTGATATTATCTCTTTCCAAGAGTACAGTCAAACGGGGGCGTGAATGCAAGATGCCAGCAGAATGATCGACCGAACAGAGGCTAGGGCTGCTTCCTTCCCACCACGTCCTTCCTTGTGTGTCGGAGATACAAAGCGAGTCACCGGAAAAGAACAGGAACCGGGTCGATCTATTCTATGGCGAAGCATCCGAAGCATAACTGCACACTCTTTGTTGTGTCCAACAAGAAGTCAATCATCTAATTGTTATCAAGAACTACTTTCTTCCAAAAAATTGTAGAAAATATCAGTTAAAACTAAAAATGTGTCACGATTAAATCTCTGTGTAAGTCTATCGATCTTTCAACAAAAACACTTTTCCTCAATTTACATATTTTCCCTTTTTGGAATTTTTTCTAAATTTCTCCTTTTTTTTGGGAGGACTCGGACGGACAAAAAAAAGAGTTGGTAAGGTGACAGAACAGTTACCTAATTTTGTTGAATAAGAAAAACACTTCGTCTTATTATATATCTAAAAAGATGTATCTTATTTTCCCAGTTGATATTTGTTGATGAATGCGACAAACTAAGGTATATTGATTATTTCAGGATATAAACTCCAGAATTGTTTGATTGATAAGCATAAGTTTAATTTATCATATAAAACATCAACTTTGCTGGTTTTATGGGGATTTATCAATATATTTTTAGTTCTTACATGAGTTGTGATTGTTTGATTGATAAGCAAAAGTTTAATTTATCAAATAAACATCAACTTTGCTGGTTTTTTGGGGATTTATCAATATATTTTAAGTTCTTACATGAGTTGTGATTAGAAAGCTTAGATGATGAACATATGTGAGAATTGCCAGACAAGAACTTATTGAGCCAAAAATTACATGGAAAAGGAAGACATGTGAAATGATTGAGCCAATAATTACATGAAAAGTAATTTTAGAAAAAAAACTGCATTTTCTATTTTCTTTTTTCTAAGTCTGATGTATAATTCTATTAAAAATACAAAGACTCCCCTGAAGCAGCTGAGATCTGAAGTGCTTCCCTTCCTCATCCAAATCGAAGCAGGCCATCTGAAGCAAACATCAAAAATGCCACCAAAGTGGCCAATAGAGTGACTTCCCCTCCCAGACAAGAATGAAGCGGGTTTCAAAGAGAATATTAGAACATTAACATAAATTTTGAACTTTTGAGATGCTTTTTAAGTAGGTTGTTACTATTGCATATAAAAATAAATAAGCATTCAAGTCTTGAACATGCACTTGCTCTTTCTAAGGCAGCTTATGTATGTTGCAATATACATTTATCTTTAGAAAATTCCAACTAAATTACCTTATTCAGGTTTCAGTCAAATACTGATTCCTTTTGGAAATTAAAATTAGTAAGTGAGAAATTTCTTTCCAAAATTCAAATGGTAAGCTACTTTTCTTCTTACACTCGGGGTTAATCCTGAGTGATAGGTAATGACCCTTATTTCATGGGATGGAGAAATGACCAAAATGCCCTTGGCTGCAAAATGACAAAAATACCCATATGTGTAGACTCTATATTTCTCCTTTCGCTCATGGTTAATCCTGAGTGATTTGTGCTGCCCCATATTTCTAGGGATGACAAAATAAACATAATCCCCTTGGGTGCAAAATGAAAAAAATACCCTAGAGTGCAAATGGTCGGGGCCTGATTTTCGCTTCGCACGCGACGACGTGTCAACGAGGGGAAAACCCTCTCTCAAACAACCGCAAAGGTACCATGCGCTTGGGCGTTTAAGCGTGTGCGTGGTCTTTAATTTGTGATTAAAATGAGGACTCATAACATCATGGATTGCACTGCAATGTTGGTCAAAGCTTATGGACTTGGCCGGATTTTACCTTCAGGAAATGTCCGTTTCAAGACGATCAAAGGACATCAAAATGTTCATGATGGATCAAGCATTAGTTCTGCGATGATGGATCGTCCGAATCACTGGCACAAGGGTCCGAAAAAGCTCCCGAAGTCTAGCAATGGCAAGAGGCCCTTTAGGGAGGGATTGTTTTGTCATTAGCTCAAAAGATTTAAGGGGTGTTTTGGTCATTGTATCCAAAAACAGGATTTTATTTTAATTCCACTTAATTGTATTTTTCCATAATTTGGCCTAGTTTGGAGCATCCACCCATGTTTTGTGGTTACACTCTATAAGCAAAATTGGGTCAATTGTAAAAAAGTTGGATCATTCATTAATGAAATCGAGACATTAAGCTTGCTCTACCTCTAACTCTTGGATTCAGCGACGAGGAGAGAGAAAACTTTTGTAGAGAGAGAAACTACCCCTAGTCCATACACCACACCGTACACCCTAGTCCACACCACGGTCCATACGCATTAGCCTTGACCCCAGTCTAACACTTCTCTCTCTCACGTGTAAGCAAAGGGGTCCAGAGGTATTGCACCTAGGCTAGATCACACCCCGTACCCAATCTCTCTCCTCCCTTTCTTCTCTTTCTCTCTTCTTTCTCTCTCTACCTTATTCTTTCTGCACAGCAACTTGGAGCCACTACTGCCCGCAGCCCCGTCTCCTTTTCCTCTCTTCTCTCATATCTCAATGTTGTGCCCGAAAGTGCCCGGAGCCGCGTCTAGCCCGCGGCCCGTTTCTCTCTCTTCTTTCGTCCAGCATGCATGCAGGTGCGGTTGGGACACGAACTCTCCTCAAGCTTCAACACATCATCTCGCTCCTCTATCTTGAAATTTGCAATGTGAATTCAGATGGCACTCCTCTATGATAGTTAACTTGAGTGGTGATGGCTGGAAAATAGGGAATGAAGGAAAAAGGGGGGCAGTGGTTCTTTCACCCCTTGGGTGTGGCAAGACTCGACCATCAGAGCACCTAAAGAGTCAGAACTCTCTAGAAGACCAACCTAGGATAACTCCACTCGAGTGAGCGAGGCGAGAGAATCTAGGTCTCATACAACTCAACTCGATTGTACGAAATGGAAGTTAGAGTCGCAACCAGAGCATTAAGACTCTTAGAGTAACTCTAAGGTGCACTTAGTCAAACACATGATCAGTAAAAGGTAGATAGCGTGCACAGAGATGCATATGCGCAACGTGTTGTGGAGGGTTGCACATGAAGACACAGGCACGCGTGGGGGTAGTGAAGAGTTGCGCGTAGAGGCACAGATATGAGCCAGATATTAGGGTTGCACGTGGAAACGGGTGCACGAAGATTGCGCATAGACAGGCGGGTATGGAACGAGTGCACAAAGGTTGCGCAGAGAAGCGCAGGTACCAAGCAAGTGCACAAGGGTTGCACGCAGACGCAGATACGAAACAAGTGCACAAGGGTTGCACGCAGACGCAGATACGAAACAAGTGCACAAGGGTTGCGCGCAGACGTGGAGGTATGAAACAAGCGGAAAAGAGCCACAATTGTTGAATTTCCGGGCATAAAACCAAATAGATAATTACAATTCTAATTGGTTCCATCTAAATAACCATGAAGTTGGAAATATTATAAGTTGTCAGTTGCCAAAGCAGCTTTATTAGAAATTCCCATTTATTATTTTTGTTCAAACACATGTAAGTACAAGACAAAGCATCTAAATATCAATTATGATCACAATGTTGAATCTCACAATGTTGAATCATAAATGTAATCAATTCTAGTACAAAACACAAATATAGAATCATTCAACAAATAAAAATATGGAGACTCACTAAAGCAACAAACTGAAACCACAAAGTAGCCACTTATTTTGTCACACATATAAAGGTCGGTGGTATGGATCTCTAGCTTACAACCAACAAACCACAATCCAAATTCACTCATCCATGCCTATGAAAAGATTGATCAAAGCATTGGGGTATTGATCTATAAATATGCAACAAATCAAATATACCCAAGCACATAAAACATCCATCAATACATATGTTGGTGCCTCTATTTTTCTCTTTTGATTGTTCATACATGAGCAACTGTATGAAATTATTTGAGTGTATGCACTAAAGACACACTTTCGACGTGAGTCTCCCAACAAGAATGCAGCATATGAAGGGTTTTATGCTAAAATTTTTTAGACACCATCACGTTAAGACATAAATGCCCACAAACAAACATAGAGAGGCATGCCCATCCCTCACCCCCTTGTGAAGAAGAAAGAGATGACCAAAGGCTCTTTAGGCAAGCTCAGTTACCCCAATCACCACAAAAGAGGACACAAAATTCATAATTTAAATAAAAACCCAATAACAAGAATTATTAAATGAGAGGAAATAAATGAAGATTTCATTGCAATCTGCAAATTAGAAATACAAAATGCATAAAAGCAGAAAACTGTTTGAATTAGATCATACATTATGGTTAGGATGGGTGGCCGACCACCTCCACAGTCCTCATGCCCCAACCCCTTTCGAACCCCTCCTTTCACTTATCAAACAAAAATGAGATAAAATGCATAAAAGCGTACCGAAAATAATTCATACATTCTTACTGAAGACAAAACAATTTGAACTAAGTCATACATTCTTTAGCTTCTTCATCTTTGACGGAGGCCATCGCCCCTTCTTTCTCAACCTTCGTTTTCGAAGAAGCCTTTTCCTCCTCAGTCTTATCTTCTTGGCCAATTTCATTCTCAATTTAGCTGCAAGTTTCTCCTGTAACTTAGACTCCAATGGCAAATTCTCCACTGATACACTCTCTTCTGAGCTCTTCTCAGGCTCATTATCACCCTCAGAAACTTCCCCATCTAACCCCGAAGAGGCCCGAACTTCCAGACTCCTAAAAGGTCTAGAGATGCCAACTCCATTAACAACTTGGAATTGCAAATTGGGTTCTCTTCCTTGAAACCTAGAGGCTGGTGAAAAAAGAAAAAAATTTATTTGAGATGAATTTACCAAATAACAATATTGGCATTAATGTATAAACAAGTATATACACAGAGAAATGAAGTATAGTCCATTGGGACTAACTTTTACATGTAAAATACAATGGACAGATATTAAAAAAACCCATTGTATGAAGAAGGGGGTGGAACATTTAAAGAAAGAAAATGAGAAGGGAAAATTAGGTAAAATACGGAGGTACCAAATAAAAGAAAATATAACCCAATTGGATTAGATTGACAGGTAGAAGAGGATTACAAAGAAATTAAAGAAAAACCCGCATACAGAGGGGTGGGTTATAATCCAAAGAAACAGACACATACACACAAAATCATAAACACATGGCACGCCCGAGAAAGAGATAGAGAAAGAGGGAGAGAGTGAAAGAGAGAGTAGATTGACATGTAGAAAATAAGCGCAAAGAAATAAAGAAAACCCATATGTAGAAGGAAGAGTAACATTTCAGGGGGGAGAGAGAGAGAAAGAGAGAGAGGAAATGCAAAAAGACATAATGTAGAAGCATTGAGCCAGTTTTTATGATGGAAACATAGATGATAAATGTATAAAAATTTAGAAAAACTTTCAGAAAGAAGGGCTGAATCCAAACACAGGGGAGTGAGTGTGTAAGAGAGAGGAAGCAAGAAAACACATAATATTGAAGCATTGAGCTTACTGATTTGCATAATATGAAGTTAAGTACATACCTGATAAGAATGTGAAGGGAACTGCACGTGATGAAGAGAGAAAAGAAGAAGGAAGAGAGAGAAGAGACGATGGAGGAGAGAGAAGAGATGCAGAGAGGAGAGAGAGAGCCATTTTGATATGGCACCGTTCGTTGCCTACTGTATTTATTGCTCGCTCTTGTTTTGGATAAGCTGTGTACAGTGTACCCTGGAAGGGAAAGGCTATAAAAGGTCGAGATTTACCCATGGCTTTAACTCAAATACAATTTTGCCCAATTTTGAAAAATAAGAGATCCAAAGGCATAATTTATAGAAATCTATTTCCACGAGTTCAAAAAATAAAACCCAACTTTTAAATTCTTCAATATTTATATTTAAAGTGAAATCGATGGTCTAATTAATATATTAAAATATATATTATTTTTAGAGCTTGAAATCATAATAAAAGGACCATGACAAAACTCGAGGCTTGATATATTTTCATGGGGTTGCAACCCTATCAAGACACTTTTCGTCATTTGGCTTTCAATGTACAAACTAGTGATTAAAAAAACGCCAAGTCGAACAGCTCGCTCGGTTCGACTTGAGAATCGGCATTGGACGTACCGAATCAGTCAAAAAACACGGAATCGCCCGGTTCTAGAGAGAACGGGGCGATTCTGTACAGTGACTCGCCAATTCACTGTACGAAATCTGCGAGTCTCGTGAAGAACACGGGCTGTACAGTGTTCTTCACAGGATTCTTCAAAATTTGTCATTTTTTTATCATTTTTTTTGTTTTTTTACCCTGTGATCGAATATGCAGGCTTTATACAAATTTTTTCAACCTTTTCATGGATTAAATGGTGGAGAAATTTCGTTTTTTTTATCATGAAAATTGGGTTTTTAGGGTTTTCGCCTTTCCTTGTGTTTCATGCCAAATAGGGCATGAATCTGTGAATATTTGTAGTCATTTTAATCGTAAAGTTGTTCATCAAAATATTCTGTTACGAATTTGTGAGAATCGTTGAGAAAAACAGAGTAATTTGAAGATTGAAGGCTCAGGTTCACGAAACCAGGTAAGAAACTTAAGGTTTTTTTTTTTTAAGCCATATGATCAATTTCACTGCATATTTTGAAAATAATGAGTTACATTTGTAGGGTTTTTAATCGTTATTGTGTCTTTTATCATGTAACATATTCAATTTTGTTTAATTTGCTCAATTACAGCCTGATTTTTTAGATGAACACAGTGATGTCTGTGAAAAAAATATTCTGCTTGTTTTTTTTTTTTTTCGCCTTTTGATTTTTTGTTCATGATATATTACAATTAATGTGTTAGATTTCTAAGGTTTTTAATCATTATAGTCTTGTTTATAATCATATGTACTCATTTTGATTTGATTTATTCAATTTGAGCTTCATTTTTTAGATTCAATAACTGTTGTTTGTGAAGAATTGCGTTTTTTGTTTTTTTTTGCTCATTTTAATCGATTTGATTTGATTTATAGATGATAATGTGTTCAAAATTTAGGGTTTTGATTCCTTATATTGTTGTTTATCAGAAAATGTACTCAATTAGATGTAATTTATTTGCTTGGAGGTGGAATTTTTAGTTAAAATGGCTTATGTAAGATGGCTCTGTGAAGAACATAATTTTTTATTTTTTATTTTTTTGTAATCCTTTATCGAATTTTTTGTTTTTGTAATCCATGATCAAATTTTTTGTAATCCATGATCGAATTTTTTGAAAATTTGTGATTTTTTTTTTAATCCACGATCTATTTTTTTTTTGTAATCCATGATCGAATTTTATGAAATTTTGTTGTACTTTTTTTTTTTTTTTATCCATGATCGAATTTTTTGAAAAATGATGATTTTCCGAAAATATGTGAAAATTGTGACAAGGTTTAGAATATCATGAGGTATTAAACCATATTTTAAATTTTGATTGCTAAAGTTTTTGTTGAAAAAAATGTATGTTGATAGATTATTTATGCAAAAAAATGCATGTTATTATATTTTTAATGCAAAACTATATTTTTTTAATCTGTTGTTAATGCATTTTTGAGTTGAAATAACTTATGTTAGGTGGCTCTATGAAGAATTGTTTTTATTTGTGTTTTTTTTTTACATGATGGATTTTATTTTAAAAATCGTGATTTTCTGAAAATATGTGAAAATAGTGACCAGGTTTTGATTATCATGAAGTATTAAACCATATTTTTAATTTTTATTGTTAAAGTTTTTGTTGAAAAAATTGCATGTTGATAGAATATTTATACAAAAAACATACATGTTATTATATTTCTAATGCAAAACTGTATTATATTTTTTTATGTAATTTTGCATTAAAAATGTATTTTCAATTTTTAAAATTTTGAACGCAAGAAATACATGTTGTTAAATTATATTATTGTGTGGAATTAAAGTGAATATCATTGTAAAAAAATCGTGGCATCTATGACAATTAAATTATCCTGCATTTTTTCAAATTTATTATTAATTTTGTAATGCAAAAAATGTATGTTCTTGATAATTGAGTTGTAGCCATGTTTGGAGCTTGCATTTTGTATTATATTATCGTGTATGTTTGTAATTGATATGTACGAAAATATTATTGTCAATAGAGGTATTTTGTAATAATAAATAACGACAAATATGATAACATGAACTACCCCAACATATTATCACTACACATTTCGTTAGAGATGTTGGTGATATTGCACCTAATGAGGGAGAGTGGGAAGGGGGTCTAAGGGAAAATGAGAGAAATGATGATTCCGAGGCCACCCTATCCTAGCCATATTATTCACATATCGAGTCCCAACATCAACAGAGTAGAAATGAGCACGACAGTGTAGGTGAGCATGAAGGATGGACAAGCTTCGGGGATTTTGGATTGGGAACACAACAGAACACTTAGGGATTTGGATATAGTCAGACGCCTGCTAATATCGATGATTCGTTTTTAGATCGAATCAATGAATTGTCAAACGAATTCAATCAATGGCACCAGCGTAACCAAGAAGAAGAACGACGTCGTCTGTCATTTTATTTTTAGATCGTATGTTATTAATTATATGCTTTATTGTAGTATATGTATGTTGATATACTTATTCCATGATAATTCTATGTTTATCCTTTTGTGTGACGTAAATTAAATGGTAAATAGTAGTTCATACAGGGAAAGAAAATATCAATATTCGCGTAGTCATGCAAAGAAATAAAAATTCTTAATGGAGTACTCTCATTTTTTATTGAATTCCTAAAAAACAATATTGAATTTTAATAATTTTTTCGGATTTTTTTGAAGCTTTAATCTGACCGATTCACCTGATTCCGAATCCCAATCGTCGATTTGCTGATCTGGATCGGTTTTTTAGGTGCCCGATCCGGATCACCGATCCGCTTTTTAAACCATTGGTACAAACAATAATGAGTAAATAGCCAAGTATGAGTTAAATAATATTTTAAAACCTATAACTCTTGGGTGGATCTCCCACCACACAGGTTTGTTTTGGATTGTTGGGTTGATGATTTGGATCTGTCTTGATCGGTCCAAATTGGCGATCCAAAATTATTAAAAACTAAAAGCAAAAAATTAAAATTGAAATAGAGATATATGGCATGAGGATTTAAGGGGACTAAAAAAATGTCACATAAGCTTAAAAATAAAATAAAATAATTTGAAGAGGGTTTTTAAGGGTAAGAGCGGGCCGAGACCTATAGCTTATTAGAACCAGTCCGGTCTTGCCCAATTCTCAATCCAAGTTGGTTGTTCTTGATCCAGATCATTGGGTTTTAAAATACCAATTTTTTAAAAAAATTGCAATTTAGAAAATAATTGCTGAATTGTTCAAATCTAATTCATTGGGTGGGCAATTTAGAACCATGGCTTTGGAATTGCTAGAGTCTCATTGATTTTTTTCTTTTTATTTTTTCTTGCTTGGTCTATTCGGACCAGTTCATTGGACTACCAAACCAAAACCGATTCAAGTACTAAAACATTGAAATGCAAACAAATTTACAAGAAGGCAAATAAAAATTAGTTGAACCAAGATTTAAAAAATGGTTAGATGATCTACATTGCCCTTTGGAAAACTGGTTTGGATTGGTAGTTCAGTGGTCTGAATAGGCAATCCAATCTAATGGACCCACAAATAAAACTTTTTTTAAAAAAATTAGAAAACAAAATTTTCAAAAAAATATTAAGAAATAAAGTGAACCAGTTATTGAATAGAAAATATAGAAAAGTCCTCTAACTTATCATCGATCATCCCGAGAATTTTGGACATGTTTTTCGAAAACTTAAAACAAATCTTAATATATTTATGAAAAAAATATTGTACATAATGAGATCATTTACTTTTGATATAAAGTAGTCACAATTCTTTACAACCACTGAATAATTTGATGGCTTAGATGTTGTGTCACAAAATTTCAAAAAATTTACTTTGAAATTTGATCTTGGTCAATAGAATAATTATAACCATCCACTTTCACATCCAATGGTCAAGATTGATGTGAGGTACTCATTCTCATTTTGTACTTCCCTTGTCGGAAGAGCGAATACAAATTTGTACGCGGTCATTTTGGGGAAAACGTACGGACAGTCTTTGAAAGACGTAAAATCGTACGGACAGTAAATTTAACTGATGAAAGTAGGCATAAAATCGAACGGACAAAAATTTAACTGAAGTGGGCAATTAGCTCCCCCAGCGAGGGTCGCGATCTCCAGACCTTTCCGGTTATGAAACGTACGCACTGCCACTATGCTATGGAAACCCAATTGATTAATTTTTATCGTAGTATATTTATATTCTTTTAAGGACGCTACGCTTAGTAGTAATGGCGGTGAAGCATGATATTGATTCACTTGCACATTCAACTCTTGCATCACCATCCAACCAATCGAATGGATGGCAATGACCCTTCATGGCCCTAATGTTTTGGATCATTGGCCTTTACTAAACAAATAAGGAGTACATACAAAAACATTGTGGTGGAAGAGATTTCGGCTTGAGTGTGAGAAATTTTTAACAAGTTGGGTGGTTAGGTATTACAAACATCGGACAATGGTAGTTTAAAACAAGCGATTACTAGTAGGGGTGGTTTTCCACATCTTTGGTATTGAAATATTAGATAAGTGTAGCAAGTCTGAAAAAGAAAAAGGGAGCTTGCAAGTACAGGTGATCTCCGCATAATTTTTGAATTTTGTTTACCCATATTGTATTAAAGGCATTCAAACCCTGTCCGTATGTAATTTTTCCAAACACAATGTCTTTAAATAGCTCAAAATATTTAATTCAATTTCATAAAGGTACTTCTTTAAAAGTTTACAATTACCCCTCTTAAAAATCGAGATTAATGAACAACATAGTATTTTGGCTCACTTAAGTGGCATGGGGTTTTGGCGGTAGTATTACCGAGCCCTATCGAGAGGTCTCCGACTCCATTCGGGCAAGGGCCCAAATCCCAATTGAAATACCACTTTAAACGGTTAGGAGCTCATCATACCCACTGAATTTACCCAAAAAAAAAAAAATCTAGCTTGAGCCAAATTACAAAAGGGTGCGGTTTATGTAAGATTGCATTATTAAATAATCCAAAAATCCAGCTTGAGCCAAATTACAAAAGGGTGCGATTTATATAAGATTGCAATATTAAATAATCCAATAAGGCGCACCTCTAAATTTTATCATAATATGTAATTTTGGTGTAGAACATTCTTAGAATTATCCTAAAATCTATTTTCATATCTAATTATAAAATTTTAAACTCCAAAATGGTTAAAATCAAGTAGATCTATAAACATATTAAAATCTTGAAAATGGACGATCTAGATAATGTGTTGCAAGATGCATTATTTTTGGGATTCAGTTTTTTTTTTTTTTCGTATTCATACATCTCGTTGTCGAGATGATCAACTAGAGGTTTTACAACATTAAAACAATTTTTTTTGATAGATTTTTAAGTACATTTGTAATTCTACATTTTAGGGTCGCAACCTTATATAAACTCTTTCCATTACAAAACACCTATGGTTTTACGAAAATTAAACTAATAAATGACCAATATGATAAAGTTGTCTATAATCAATAATACAAGGCTAGGGAATTTTCATAAATTAAAGTTTCGTGTTCCCAACATTGACGACTCATGGATGTTTTTGTACCATCCCTAGCCACTTTCGTGGGTGAAGTTACTAAAATTATCCCAATATTGAACAAGGGTAGAACAAACAATTTATTTTTAAAATAATAATAATAATAGGTGTCAAATGAACAAGGGTAAAACAAACAATTTTTTTGTTTTTTAAATTAATAAGTGTCACGTTGTGAAGGTTAAGAGAATACTAAAAAAAAAAAAAAACCTTAAGAAGTACAATTACAATTACAAATTTGATTGAGATTTTTTAGCGCTTTGTCAATATATATAAAAATCACTTGAGTCCTTTGATGATATTTTCTCACCACTATTTTTAACCTTGCCAAGTTCTACGATGCCATCCATGCTTTTGGATGGTAGCAATAAAAGACATGGTTAGATACATAGACATGCTTCACCGTCGGATGCTACATCAAAGGTTCAGAAGTTAGCCGGTACACTTGTCCAAAACTGGGCTGCTAGCATAGTATGACCAATAAAACTTTGTGGCGATTCTACAATGGGTGCCGAGGCTCTAAACAATCACAGTAAAGTGCACTTTCAAATAGTGTATAAAAATATGGTTCAATATTGGAAATCTTTGTGATAGCCTTAAAATATATTTTAATCTCTAATTATAAAAAGAAATTTGTTTCGTCCATTTGGACCGTATTTAGACAATATGCAATCCCAATGTATTAAGCATCTATCTTAAAGATGGATGCAAATAGGTGGTCCATTTAAAAACAATCGAAACTAACACTTCAAGTGTTTTATTAATAGAATTATTATTTTTAATTTTTATTTATTTGTTTATATTCATGATCTCCATGTTAGATATTGCATCTCCTTAAAAATTAAGTTTAAAAATCCATCTCAAAAATATATTTTTTAATAGGTGACTCATTTCTACATAGACTCGTAGAAACCATGTCCATTATAAAATTTAAAGCTTAAAAAACAATGTAGATCGAGCAGATTTATGAAAACTTGAAAATCTTGAAAATTTGCGGTCCAAAAATACATTTCAAGATGCACTATTTCCAAACCTTGAAATCTATTTTTTTAATGTCCATATATCTTGAAGTCGACATGATCAGTTTGAGGATATTTGGGCATTGAAACAATCTCCTCTAGTGAATTTTTTGAAGTGCACACTAATTTGATTGTTTACAACCTCGCACTTATATAAACTTTTTCCTTTTGTAACTTTACAATGTAAAATTATAAATGCACTTCAAAAATCAGCAAATGTTATTTTAATGTTGAAAAACCTTCTAATTGGTCATCTCAACTTTGAGATATATGAATATATAAAAAAAAAAAAGGATTTTGAGCCTTGGAAATAATACATCTTGGAACACATTATATAGACCATTAATTTTCATGATTTTCATTTATTCATAGATCTACTTGATTTTAACCATTTATGAAGTTTAAAATTTTATAGTTAGATATAAAAATAGATTTTCAAATAATCTTAAAAATTTCTTACACCAAATTACATGTTATAATAAAAATTGGAGGTGCGCCTTAACTGTTTTTTTAAGGTCGCAACCTCATAGAAACCACACCCGCTAGATAATCATATTCTGAAATGGAAAGGGCATTTTTAGGCATTCAGCTTATTGGGTTTTAGATCACAAAACCTTGCTCGGCTCCCATGGCGGCCTCTCTTATTAGTGGCGCGCGTCTTACTTCCAGAGCGTCTCTCTCTCCACAATCCATACCCTGCATTCCATGATGCCCCTTTCTCATAACAAGGTAATCCGATATTCCATTTTTTTCCTGTTATTTCAATTATTTTTCCTTTTTCTTTGCCCTAGCTCTCTTTCTCTTTATTTATCTCTCTCTCTCTCTCTCTTTCTCTCTCTTTTATATACCTTCTATTTTTCATTAATGTTGCTTATTTGATCTCTTATTCTGATTTTTCTTTCTCAAACTCTCGTATGTTCGCTCTTATCAGGTAATCGAGTAACAGTGTTTTAGGGGGCCTTTAAAATCTTCGAACCACAATGTTCTGCGCAGGTATAGCTTTACTACTCAGTCCTTACTTTATTTTATTCATTAATGCGGTTTTACTTTATTCTCATTTTCAGACAATCATATTTTTGTTGTTTTTCTCATTTGGATATCGTGTAGTCATTTGTTTGATTTATTTTTGTCTTACAGAGCTTTGACTGTGTTAGTACGGATAACCATGATAAGCTGTTACTGTTATCTTAGTTTGAAATGTGCTGTCCTTTTTCCTCTTATTTTGTGGTTGATAAAAGACTGCCATTGATTTTTTTTTTTTTTTCAGTTTCCGGTGTCACACCGGAGGATCCCGTAGTTTCGAAGAAGTCAGGACTTCTTTTTGAGAAGAGATTGATAGAGAGGCACATATTGGTATGCACCGAATGCTGATTTAATTATATATCTTGAAGTCACCTGCTTGTCCCCCTTATAAATCTCGTTCTTTGACTAGCAATGTCATGTTTCTTTATCTTTTTATTGTAAATTGACCATTGGTGGAATTTTTTCTCTAGTATGAAATTAGCATTCGATAAAAAATTTGGTTCAAATTTCATCATGTTGTTGTCCTCCACATTATTAGTATACTTAATAGTGCAACTAACCTGCTGTAACTAAGTTTGGCATGACACTATCTTGTTCAGATTATTAAGTTCTTTGGCGTTATTTGATTCAAGAGATTTGGGGTTTATGGTTTTCTTTGTTTTTCTTCTTTTTGTTAGGACTATGGGAAATGCCCTGTCACTGGAGAGCCTCTAACAATGGATGATATTGTTTCTGTCAAGACCAATAAGGTTTTCTTCTCTTTAAACATGCCTTCCATCTCAATTTTCATGGTTACCATTCACCAATAAAATGAACGCTATTGAGTGTCTTATCGAGGATTCGTGTTGCTCAGGCTGTGAAGCCGAGACCTCTACAAGCTGCGAGCATCCCGGGAATGCTGGGATTGTTTCAAAATGTAAGCAATTGGAGAACTCAATTATTTTCCTTTCCATTTGTACTATAAAAAAGAACTTCCTCTTTCTACTATTGTATAGCATATTTTTTTTTCTGTTAATTTCATGCTGCTACTAGCCTACTACTTAGTGCAATATGGTGAGGATTTTGCAAGTCTTATTGTTATTTTTATCTTCCTGTTTGGTATTGTTCAGATGTATCCATTTGGAAGCCATCACTGAGATATCATACCTAACTAAATCTAGCTGACGACCGTGACAACATGGACATCATCAAAGATTTTTTGATTTCTGTCAAAACCGTATTATGCATCTTCCTTTTTTGGATTAATATCAAAATTTTGGCTCCAAGATGTTTCAGAACTTACAATCATGAATTTAATGGATTGATGTCATGGAAGATGCACTTAATACTATTGCGGTTGTAGGTTATCCAGTTGTGGTACTACGAGAGATAAGTAGGTTATAAACATATGATTTATGAAAGCTCCGTAAGTAGATTGTTCATATTGGTAGATCTGGATGACTTTCTTCTACCAATATGAACAATCTACTTCAGAAATTTGTCTAGTGGCTCTCTCTCTCTCTCTCGTTCTACTTGTTGGCCCTTTTCTGTCTAATGTGAATAAATAAACGTCTGTTAATGATTTAAAAAAATAAATAATCTGTGTAGTGTTTACATATTATTTGTGAATGGTTTATGGACAACATTAAGCTGAAGTTTGGGATGGCTGGTAAGAGTAAGTCGTATGATATCTGAATTAATATGTGGTGATGGTTCGGGTGATAATAGAAATCCAGTCTTCCACCACTGGTTTCATGGTTTCATTATCATGTGTCCTTCTTCTTCTTTGGCTCTATAGTGTTTTTAGTACTGCAGCTTCATATGACTATTATCTTGGGACTCGCACATGTGCATAATAAATTTTTTTTTTTGATTCACATAATAATTATTCAGAATGTGCATAATATCTTCTTCAGTAATTATGTGATGTTTCTATAACCCTAATTCTATGATGTATTTTACAATGACTTCTTGTAACATGTAGTTGCTAAGATACAAGTATCTTTCTCTGCCTATACCTTTATATATTTGTGGCATGTTGGCCTTTATCTAAATGATTGCACTAGTTACAGCTTAACTGAAACATAACTTTGCCGATGAATCGATTTGCAGTATATCCTTTTTGGTAATGATATGAACATGAGAGTCCTAGAAGATAAGTGTACACATTTGTTCAAAGGATATTTTCTAAAGGGAAAAGTTTATATAGAGCCGAGGCTCTAAACAATCAAATTGTAGCCTACCTCAAAAATTTCACTAGAAGAGGTTGTTTTGATGCCCAAATATCCTCAAATTGATCATCTTGACATCAACATGTCTGGACATGAGAAAAAAATGGATTTCAAGTTTTGGAAATAGTGTACTTTGTAACGCAGTTTTGGACCGTCAATTTTCAAGATTTTCAAGTTTTCATTGATTTGTTGATGTACACTATTTTTTAAGCTTTAAACTTTATAAATAAAGATGAAAATATATTTTAAGGCTATCACAAAGATTTCCAGTATTGAAACCACATTTCTCGACACTATTTGAAGGTAGGCTCTAATTCGATTGTTTAGAGCCTAGGTTCTATGCAAACCGCACCCTTTGCTAAAAGCCTCCTTTGTAAGGCACCATCCTCGTATTTGTCATATTATGATATGTTAAGAATTGTGATATAAAAAAAAAAAAAGAAGAAAAGAACTCCATGCATGATTTTACAAATTCCACCAACCAAGTTATGATGTGTGTCATCTCCAATCATATTGATCCCTACTGATTTTTGGAATAGAGATAACAAAGTTGCATTGAATGTTCTGAATTCTTACTCATAGCCTATTACAGCATTACTGCTCTACCCTATGAACACCAATGTGGGCCCCTCCTTCCTCCTTCCTAACCTATTCAGGTCTGAAGTCCCCTTGGATAACAAAATTCTGGTTCTTTGAATGTTAAATGATTAAAATCTTTCTATTTAACCATGTGGGTTTAGCATCTTGAAGAATCTGAAAGCCTTCTCCGAAAGACTTACCCTGCGTAGATATTTTGGAAATCAGAGATGGAGATGGGTGCAATATCTTTGTAGTTTGTACAATACTTAAAAGTGCATATACAGGGACAAGCATTTGATACTATCGCCATCCATATGTGTGGCAAGTTAGCCTTCCCCTGAATACTAAAATTCCCTATTCAGGGATGAAGTCCCTTTGGATAACAAAACTGGTTTATTGACTGTTAACTTGAGTAAAACCTTTTTATTTAACCATGTGTGTTTAGCATCTTGAAGAATATGAAAGCCTCACCTGAAGTATTTATCCTGCTCTGATATTTTGGAAATCAGAGGTGGAGGTGGGTACTGTATCTTTGTCCAATACCTAAAAGCGTACATACAACAAGTATTTGATGTTGTCACCATCCTTATGTGTGGCAATAGTGGACCAGCCTTCCCCTGAATATTAAAATCCACAATGATTTGTTTTAATTGTGAGGGCCACTACATAGCATGGTCCAAGATGACAAGGGCAGTGTTTATCTTCCTTAATCCTCTGAAGGCCTTCCTTTCAATGGCAGTCATCAGAAAAAAAAAAAAAAAAATCCTTTTAAAGGCAATGAACACATGTACAATCATTTATTATTACTTTGCTTGGGTTTTTGAGTCTTTTGATCTTGCAAAAAAGGATCATCTTTCTGCATGCTTGTTTAGATAAAGTAGAATCTAAATTACTGAACAATCAGCTTATTAAATAAAGAGAAATTTAAAAACCTTAGTTTCTAAATCATCCTTTAATTAGAATTGCCATGGATTTGGAAAAGAGCCAATGAGGGTTTGATGTGTTCTAAAGAGTTGTGTGCATTTTGTATTAGAAGAGTGTAAAGTATCCTCTTGTGGTTGGTTGGAGGTTGCTTATCCAATAGACCAGCCACGATGGCAAGCTTAAAAAGGGAAAAAGATGATGGCAAGCTCTGACTATGTAATGCATTTTCTGCAAGGACGAATGTGTGACACATCATATTATATCGTATTGCCTGTATTGAAAAGAGAATTCTGAGAGGGTGCTTTGGTATTTACCCTATGAGGGAAGTTAAATGGTCAACCCCGCTTGAATCCAGGGAACAATTCCTGGACCAAGGCAATGGAAACTGCTAGTAGGGTTTTCTGTGCGTTATGCTTGTTGAGTTCGAATAAAAAAATCTATATGAATAATCCTACAGATATGGTATTAGGGTTTTCTGTGCGTTATGCTTGTTGAGTTCGAATCAAGGGGTTTGGGGGAAACTAGGACAAGGGTTTAGGAACTTGATTTGGAGTGTTATGAGCGGGTACTTTACAAAAAAATGAAGAAACTTGCCAAGTTTTGAAGGACACGTCTCGGTATTATCCCATTTTGTCCACGTCTTAGCCATGTCTTATAAAAAATTCAACAATTGTGCTTATGAATACCTGAATTTATACCATTAGACTCACTGGTCTGGCTTGGGGATTAGTCAACTCGCCTTGGGGCTCTTGGGACGAGTCTGTGTTTGAAAACATGGGCTGCTAGGATTATTGTTAGGATTTAGTTGGAAGAGGCCGTAGGGTGTGTAGGATAGAGAAGATGAGTTAGGGATGGAGGGATGGACGAAGAAGGAAAAGAAGGAAACAAGCCTAAAATATGTATGGATTCAACACTATACACGTATAAGGAGACCCAGGTTTGTCTAATGATCCCACACTAGAATCATAAACAGTTTGAAATAATAATGTTTTCACACATTTGCCTCTTCAAGGGCAATCCTCTAGAAAAGCTTATTTCAAATGGAAGCTTTCAACAAATGCTAGACCATAACTAGGGGCACATGAAACCAGTTTATGGACAAATGAAGCCAATGGCCAATTTGTGGAGGCCAATCTCCATTCAAGACTTTAAGTATATTCTTCTCTCTTCTATATATCCCATAACTCCGATGTTTATCAGCTCTAGCTTACTAAATGGTAGCCCTGTATCTTCCAAATTTATATTAAAAGAGAAGCCAAGGAGCCATCCTTCCTTCCTACCCATAGTTTCAAAAAGCGCTAGGCGGGTCCTGGGCGGCTTGGGCGGTCCAGGCCGCCTAGCGCCTAGGCGAGCGCCCAGAACTTGGGCGGCCCAATTGAATCCAAATAAGGATTCTGGCATTCTGCAGTTATGTCAGTATCAGTTATAGCCACATTTCTAATTGGGATCACCACTCCTATTAGATCCCGAAGAAGACATCTAACAAATAATGCAAATTACTAAAGCAATAAAAATAATCACTTTGAGTTTGATTGCTTAATCTTCAAACTTCCACCTCAAAGATGCTTCTAAATACTCAAAATCTTCTAAAAAATCCACTTAATAACTTTGCAAAACATCAAAAAGTAAATATAATACCAATGGGTGATGTTTTGATCAATTTTTGTTAACTTTGAGTAACCCTTCGATCCTAAAAAATTCACCACAATCTAGATTTTTTGGGGGCTTTCTCTCTCTAAATTTGGCTCCAATAAGTTTTAGGTTTCAAATGAACCTAAAACCCTAATTTTTGTCCCTTAAAAACAAAAACAAAAAAAACAAAAAATGCCCTCACCAAATTTTTTTGCCCCTGAGCAGCCACCCAAGGCTGGGTGCCTGGCTAGGCGGGTTCCGTACCGCCTAGGGATCGACCGCCCAGATTGGTTTCATCGCCCAGGCCTTCTAGACCACCTAGGCGGTCTCCAAGGCGTTGGGCGGTCCGCTTTTTGAATCACTATTCCTACCTAATCAACCCCGAATCAAAATTGCTAATCAACACTTAATCAAAATAGAAACCCAACTCAACCACAACGTGCCTATCCTAATCTTTACTATTTTAAAAGTTTTTCAGTTCTTTTCCTATTTAAAATATCATCCTATTTGCTAGGTTGGGAACATTGCACCCCATCTCGAAACCAACTTTTCCTTCGAGGTTGAATTTTGGATACACTTTTCTCTCCTCATCTTCACATTTTTAAAAGCTGCTTTGATTGTTGGGTCTTCGGCTTCTCGTGCACCTTGTAGCTTTTTGACCACTTATCCTTACCAACTCTATCTATGGGCTTCCTCACTTGCTTCTTCTTTGTTTATTCTGCAATTTTGATCTTGTTACCCTCTTCTTCATTGCCTATATTTTTCTAAGCGATTTTGATCAAGCTGCCCTCTTCTTCAAGATTTTGGAAAGAAACTCCTAGGTGGGAAGTGGAGAGACATGTTCATGAGAGGGAAAGGAGGAGATTTCTGCATGTGAGGGAAGGGTGAGATGTTCATTGAGGGGAGTGTAGGGATCTCTTCATGTGAGCTAGGGAAGGGACATGATCGTCATGTAGTGGAGTGGGGTGAGTGAGGGAAGGGGAGAGATCTTCATGGAGGGGAGTGGAGCGATTTCCTCAAACGAGGGAAGGAGAGAGACCTCTACAGAAGAAAGTGGAGAGATCTCCTCATGCAAGGAAGGTCTAAGACTTCCATCCCTCACATCATAAGATTCTTCTTTTGATTAAGGGCTACGAGCATCGACTGGATTTATGACATAATACTTGATTGGTTAGCGAAGTTCTCCTCGATATTCAATATATCTTGTTCTATATTATTAATTTGTGCGTGTGAGATCCCATGAAATTGCTCTGATACTACTTCAAATGATCCCATATCAAAATAATAAAGTACTGAAAATAATGGTTTTATTAGATATATGCCTCTTTGAGGGGGCAGTTTTTCATAAAAAATGGGCTGATCAACCTCCAATCAAGACTTAACCAAGTTCTTTCAGTGTCTACATATCTAACTCTCTTGTTTATAATTTTTAGCCCAATAAAATATTTGCCCTTCACTTGAATTTCAAGTCCTTATTTATCGGGAGAACCACGTCCTTGTCCTTCCTACCCACTCAACCCCTATTTAAAAAATCTCAACTCAAAACCAGCATATGTATCCTAATCTTTTCCCATGTAAAACAATTTTAAATATTTTACTATGCATAGTAATTGCTGGGTTAGTAACAGTTGGTTTGGAATCAACATTAAACAAATCTAAGGCTAGGGCTAGATTTGCATCCAATGAAACTATGCAAAACTATTTCATGGCATGAACACCATGTGGAAGGCTGAGGCATCAACGCCTCATAGATGGATTTAACTCCATCTAGGCTTGAAAGACATCTTTATTTTTCATAGTCTAGCCAGAGGGCTAGTACATGTGTTTAAAGAGCTTTTGGGTGCCTACAAGTCTTCCTAAACTTGACCATGGCTCTAATAATATAAAGGATACTCACAGAAATAAGAAACCAAGATTCCCATTCCTATTAAGGAAACTTGGACAACAAAGGCATGAAAATAAATAAACTTAAAATATTTACATTAAAATTGACCTTGGACTAGTAGTTAAATTAAAAGCTTAATTGGACCTAAAGTTCATCACTATTTTTTCCCTCCAGGCTTCGTGCTAAGACTGTGATCCTGCAACATCCATATTAGGAAAAATTAATAGAAATGGTAGTCATAGATCACAGATCAATTAAGGACATACAGGTGGCAGGTTACTTCGTTCGGAAGTTGACTACTTCAACATGTGTGTGATGGCATAGTAATAATGGTTGTAGGTTTGATTAGGTAAATATGAAGAAGCATCTTAGTATTTTTGTGAAGAAAGCAAGTGAGGGAGTGTTACTCATCCCCATCGATTGTTTTGAATTGGTTAGTCTTTCTTATACTTGTGCTCAAGTGTAACAGGCAATCTATCTCTTCAATTTTTATTTATTTAACTTACATACCAAGGGGGTTTCATCAGATCCTGGCTTAATGAACTTGTAGGAGAAAATCATATAATCCTGAATATGAACTGCGCATGAGGCGCTTTGGAGGCTCAGGCTTTTTTCTCCTGTTATGCAAAAATGTTAGTCATGTGAACTTTATTTGAAATTAGAACCCTATTCACACTAGGCTCATTGTTATATCCCTTTGGTAGTTATTCTTGATAAATAAATTCCTATAATACATTAATCAAGTTCCATATTTCTTATTATACCATGCTTAAATAATTTGATATTTTTTTTGAAATGTTTAAATAAATTGATATTTTACTTATCATAATAGTAAATATTATATTAATGAAATTATTCATCATCATCATCATACCCTTTTCCCAACTGATTGGGGTCTGCTAATTTTAATGAAATTCTTATTACTATTTTATGCTTCAGCAGTCTGTAATGGTCACATGCTGTCTCTTTTCCTGACTAATTGAAATTTAGTTATTGAATTTCTTTTAGAAATATGTACTGTATTTTATGTTCTTGGACAACTTGTCAAATGTAATTATTAGAAAGGGTGAAAAGCCCTTGTCAAATGGTTTCTAGTAAGCTTTCAAATTTATAAGTCTTGACACTGATTTTATTATTGTCGATTTGCCAGGAGTGGGATGCACTAATGTTATCAAATTTTGCATTGGAGCAGCAACTACATACGGCAAGGCAAGAGCTAAGTCATGCTCTATATCAGGTACTAAATCAATCTTGTTTATAAAGGAAACAGTTATAAGTAGAATATTATGATTAGAAAATTCAGTTTTTTGAGGAAGCAAAATAAAAGAAAGTTAAAGTCACTTTGAGAATTGCCAGTTTCATTGAAGGGAGTTCTCCTCAGCTGCTCTATCAAATGTTTTTGAATCTGTTTGTTCACATGAAAAACAGTCTGTGATATTGTTTCCATATCTTGTTCCTTGAATATTGGACTTTAGGCTTCATTGTGAATTTGTTGTTATGTGCCTATATTTCCTACTGCATATGTATATCATTCTATTTTTCCTATATTAATTGTGGAGTAGGGGGCTGGACGCTTCCTTGAGAATATGCTTTTATTTGCCTGTATTTCCAAATTTTTTTTTTTGGTGTTTTTTTTTGGGGAGCGGTGGAGGATTGGGGAGCCACTGTTGCTTTGTGCATTAACCATGCTGGTATTTCGGTTCCAGCATGATGCTGCATGTCGTGTCATAGCAAGACTTAAGAAGGAAAGGGATGAAGCAAGGGCTCTGTTAGCCCAGGCAGAGAGACAGATTCCCACGACTGCCTCAGATGCTGCTTCAATGCATACTGCAGTTGTCAGCAATGGAAAAAGAGGTTCCTTCATTTTTAGTATTGGGTTATTAAGAAAGTTGTAGTTAGAGCCTTTTTTCTCTCTTTGTTCATGACACAGTTGTGGATTTATTTGTTCTGGCAGTTGCTGAAGATGAGGAGTTTGGTCATGGTGCTAAGAGAATACGTCCAGGTATCTCCGCTGAGATCATTGCTGAACTTACAGAGTGCAATACAACACTTTCTGGGCAACGCAAGAAACGGCAGGCATTTCTCGAAACTTGATTTATTGTCTTAATTTGGTCCCTTTCAATAGTTCATGGTTACAAACTGAGCAAGATCCAATTCTGAGAAGAGTTTTTCTATTTCTCAAATGGACTACGGTATTGCTCAACACATTCTTTTTAGTTGCACTCTCTGTTTCACTTTTGACTTCTTTGGAGTTTCAACTGCATATCTTGAGGTATGGATTGCTTGCTTAAGGGAAATACCCAATTTTCATCCTTACCAGCTTTTCCTTTTGGTGAATTTTTAGATATCAACAACACTGGCTCCAAAGGAGGCTTTTGAGAGATACACTCAGGTCTCAAGTCATCCATTACACAAAACTAACAGGCCAGGCATTTTATCAGTCGATATCCATCCCTCGAAGGTACGAGCATCTACTGGGTTCCTTGTTTTGTTTCATTTGTTATAACCCTGTAGATGTGTGACCGATGTCAATTTGGTACTAAGTTTCATTTAGATTTATTTTGCTTTAGTTTCTTGTGATAAGAAAGTTATTGTAACTTTTTTATGAGCTTAATCATGGTTTGTGGGGATGTTTGCTTAAAAAGAAGTCTCTTTTTAATTGCGATGATTTTGACATTCTCTTGGACAGGATGTTATTGCAACTGGAGGGGTCGATGCAAATGCTGTTCTCTTTGATCGATCATCTGGGCAGATCCTTTCTACTCTTTCGGGGCACTCGAAAAAGGTTTGTTTCATTTGGATTTCAAGGAATTCTTTTTCTTTTTCTTTTTCTCCCTTTGAATGTTCGATCGCAGGGTTTCTATTGTTTTTTTTTGCATAGTTGTTTGAAAGCCCTTTCTAATGAGATTCATTGCATTTAATAAGGTCACAAGTGTCAAATTTGTTCCTCGAGATGAGTTCTTTGTGAGTGCTTCAGCTGATAAGGTCAGTCAATTTCATCTTTTCTTGTGGTATTTCTATCTTCTATTTCTCTCTTATTGACGAGCTGGGATATCCATTTGTTATTATTCATTTATTTTTGATGGATATGTCGCAAATCATGTTACGGAGTATATGGCAAGTTCACTAGAATATTGGCTCCAGTTCTTAGGTACTCTCTTGCTTATTTTAGTGGGCATATTATCTGATGTGCACCTTGAAGCTTATGAGGTCATATTGAAACTGAGCTTAGAGAACTTGTCACTTTTGACAATATCACGACCACCCCTCTTCATTTGTATTTGAAGATGAGAGAAGCTACACACACGGCCCTAGGCCTTGTTTGTGTCCTGATAGCCATAACCAAAGTCTACCTTTAGTTGGCTTTAATGACCATTACTAAGTGGAGCAATGTCCAAAATTTTGATGATATGATAAAAGATGTTTCTTTTCCTTCTATCGTGAGGGTAAAACACTGTTATCTGTGACATTTTGCCAATAAGCAGGTTCCTATCCTTAAGTTGCACTGTGAATAGTGGCATGCCAGGTTGCCTTGCAACCCATTCAGGGGCATGCCAGGTTGCCTTGCAACTCATTCAGGGGCAAGTATATGCTATGGCCAAAAAAATAGTGTGTTCCAAGGATTTAACAGTATGTTATGTCTGTGTGACAAGAGTGGGCATGACAGTTTCCAATAACTTTGTAGCTTTAAAGTATCAAAAATCCATTCTAAAGAGACCTAGGTCTGCAAAAGTGAGATAATATGATGTAACAGTCCCCTTGTCAACTGGTGTATTTTTCAAGTTAGGCATTAACCATTAACTATTTTGTGGTATTGAGATGAACCATCACGATGGGCTGTTGTGCATGACTAGACCAAGTGAAGCACATATCTGTTGTAAGAATGTGTTTTCTCTATCTTGAAAACCATAACAAAAAATTCTGCTCTTTACCTTGAAAGTTTATCACCAACCATTTGGGTCTTCCATTTGAAATGGGTATTTGGGTTATAAAATAGTGGTGTATGCTGTAAGGTGATGTCCATACTCCATGTTCATAAATCTTCCATTTGGGTTAAACTTCCTATTATGAGGCATAGGTATGCATTTTGTTTTTTGTGGGATGAACTTATATAAATGACAGGATATATCGAATCAACAAGTTTATTTTTTTTGTAGAGCTTCAACAATTTACGATCCTTTCCAATTCCATCCTATCATGATTTTAATCCATATAAAGGGAGACTAGTATCATGCACATGCGAAGCGTGTGTTATATTTTTTATTTTAACAATATTGATATGATATGAGATTTAGGGAATAACTACTTACCTTACCAAAGGCAAGCTTCCTATATTATTAAACTTACTCTAAACCTTGTTCTAAACCTTGTTCTAGACTACTCTAAACCTTGTTCTAAAATTAGAAAAAAATAAATAAAAAATTATAACACGTTCTAATATAAATAATGTTTGAATTGTTTTCACTGTATCTTCTTCCAACATAATATAGTAAAATAACGTGAGTTGGTATCACTACATCTATTACTTCCTAGTCCTACTAAAGATACAAAAGTAGGGGTGCCATATTGAAAGTTATAACAATTGCACTCCAAAATTTACATTAGAAAGGAAACCCAAACTACAACAATGATGTGAAAGAGTTAAATTAGAATAAGATGGTCTTCGCAATTGAAGCCAAGCTGACCTCCTTGATCGTATGATAAATCCACCACTAAACATATGAAATATTAGGAAATATAAAGTGATAAGCAAAGCAAAGATACTATCCACAACAAAATGAGAAAAAAAGACGAGAAAACAGTTGCTCCAAGTATGAGGCATAGCAAAAATTAAACCTTAAGATCATCCCATGCAGAAAAGATAAAGGAGAACATAAAAACTTGAAAATATCAAACAAAAAAAAGTAAATTATACCTTCTTGTAATTGGTTTTCATGTTTTGTTTTTGTTTTTTTTTATAATGTTAACCTTGTATTACTATAAAAGTTGAAGAATACAGCAGAAAGAGGGAGGAGAGCACCGAGAATACCTACGAGACAGGTATCTCAGTCTAAAAATTAAGCCAAGAACCCTATACAATCTATAACCTTTTGAAGCGGCCGTAACCAAAAAGGAGGATACAAAAAATTGGGCTTATAGGGATGCCTGTTACAGAAATGTACAATAAAAAAACTAGTGTCCTAGGAGATCTTGAAGGTCCAGTGCAAAAAAGGAGGTGGACCATTCATTGTCTTCTAAGTGTGGTCGTCGTTGCGCACCATCTTTGGCGAGAAAGTCGGCGAACTCGTTCGACGTCCTCCAAGATTGCCTCCAACAGACGTTGGTATCCCTGCATAAGTGGTAAATTTCATCAAATATTCTAGAAAGGTACCAAGGAGGGGTGGTGGTGCCTGCTGCCCATGAAAGAATGTTGTTTGCTTCTCCTTCCACCACTAAGGATTGGCCCCAAGATGGATTAAAATTTTTTAGGCCTGTTAAGAGTGCCAAGGCTTTGGCGAATTGTGAATCTCCATGTCCGAGAAATTCTGAGTATGTCAAGAGAACATTTCGATTGTGGTCATGGAAAACTCCCCTTACTCCTAAAGGGCCCGGGTTTCCAATGGAACAACCATCGAAGTTTAGTTTAATGGTAGTTTCTGGAGGAGGTAACCAGTTGTGAGGTCACCTTAGCTTGAGAGGCTGAATTCGGATAATATTGTCCCAATGTCTGAGGAAAGAACTCATAGGAATCCCACCAAAGGTCATATGGGTGGAGGCCCAAAAGGTTACAAGTGATGTAACCTTATGAAACAGCCCTGAAACTTCATTTCTGTGCCCTTAAAAGACCCTCTCATTTCTTTCAAGCCATAAAACCCATACTATAGCAGCGATACCTGCCCTCCACAAGGTTCTACCTGCTTTGGGCCAAGGACCTCTAGAATAAAGAAGAAATAAGTCTTTTACCGAATGAGAGAGGACCCAATTGAGACTAAAGAATTTTAGGATCAGTGTCCAAAGCTCTTAAGCCACACTGCAGTGTAGAAAGAGGTGGGGGTTAGACTCCTCCTCTGTCATACACATTACACATCTATTTGGGAGTGGCAGGCCTCTTGTTTGGAGCTGATCAAGAGTGAGGGCCCTATGACAGCCAGCAATCCAATTGAAAGACTGAACTTTTGGAGGAGCTATTGTATTCAACACATTGAAGAAGGGAGCGATGGGATTTAGAGGGAAAGTATGAGGCTGGATAAGAAGCTTATAGAAAGATGCTACTGAAAAGTTACCAGATGGAGATAGTGTCCATACCAAAGAATCACTCCCAGATAAAGGTAAGAACACCGGGTGAAGAGCAGCCGATAGAGTGGAGAACTCTAATGTTTCCTCTTCGGAAGGATCCTCTTTGGGAGTGGTTTTCATGTTTTGTTTCAATTACATAATAAATTTGATGTATAAAGCATGTGATATATCTAATTTGTTTTGCTTAATAAGTTTCAAATTGGAGAGACTTTTGTCTTTTTAATTATCTCCTTCCATGTGGTTATTAATATGGGTTTTAAATATGGTGAAATATCTCCATACCCTCTGTTTTTAGGTTTCATTTCTCAATAGACCCAAGCTTTCAAAATATTTCTTAGGGTCATGAAGATACCATACATTATATCTTCTAATCCCCTGGACCAACTTTACCCACTTCGACCAGCTCTAACAAATCTTAAAAAGACATGCCCTTTGTAAACCCTATCCTCTCTCTCTTGACGTGATTCTCCTAAAACTTCTCGCTCCCTCCGTATTTTCCCAAGTGTCTTTTTCTCTCTCTCTCTCTCTCTCTCTCTTCCTCTCTCTCTCTCTCTCTACTCTCTCTCTCTCTCTCTCTCTCTCTCTCTCTCTCTCTCTCTCTCTCTCTCTCTCTCTCTCTCTCTCTCTCTC